CCACCAAGTTGTTTTCTTTTCTGCACCTCCCTGTAAGGTCAGAAATATCTTCTCCCTGTGGTGGAGAAGACTCACTCTGATGAAAGTGGAATGGCTTTTTCTCATGAGTTCCTGGAAGGAATAGCTGGGGTCCAGAACAGGAGGGAAATATTTTGGTAATTTGCAAGGCCTCTAATAGGCCTCTTCTCCTGGATTTTTTTCTCTTACATTGCTAATTCTTCCGGTCCAAGAGTTGGCTACTGCTAATACCAGTCCACCTTCATTTCTCACATAAATAAGAAAGAAACAAAACAGTAACAAGAAGAAAATACCGTTGCCAGTAATTCTCCTGTTTCAGTCATTGTCAGAGGGAAGTAAACACAGCCACATAGCTTCACTGCCCTGGGGCTTGTTTACATGTCTATCTGGTTTTCTTCCTCTACAGGCCCACAAGCCTGTTTTAGAAGAAAGTACTCCTATAGACCGCCGTCCTTCCCTGGTCTCTGTCTCCTGCTGGGAGCTTTCTGTAGACCTAGCTTTTTACAGCATGCACTGTTACAAAGCCAACAGGGATGCAGTGGCTGGTTTTCCTAAATTCAACATTTCTCTTACAGAATTTCAGGTGCAATCCACTGAATGTTCAGGGGTCTGATTATTACAAAAATACTATAGAATTCAATAACCAGTCAGTATTACTCTAGAAATTTATCCTAAAATACTAAAAGTATATCCTTTTAATGTAATATACCTTTTAAAAAGGGTATTATAGAATTTGCCTGCTGTACTATCTATTACAAAAATTCCACGCTCTTCAAGGAATTCTTTTGGTATGTTTAAACCTTTAAAATAAAAGACTGGAAATAGCTTGTGTGAAGATAAACCCACCTGAAAACAATTCTATTTTTTTCCGCTGAGGAGTAATTATCTTGAAAATCTGTGGAGCCTCCATGGTGAAGATCACTACTACCTCTAAAATAATGATTTGTAACAATGCTCCAGAAGCAACTGAAGCTGCTCAATTTAATAACAAAATCCTCTCTGCCATCCCCAGTTTTGTCAAACAGGGAAATAAAAAACACAACTTTGCTTTGGTTACTTTTTTTCGAACTGAATTTGATGTTGTTGCCTGATGGTCAGCCAGAGATTGAAATTCTCAATATACTAGGCAGAAAGCTGTGGCACAGACATAGAGGTAAACAAATCACTTCACTATTCTGACTGGTTTAGGATCCTTTCCAATGGTTATTGAAATGTTCTTTTTTAAAAACATTAAATCGTGGTAATACAAATCCAAGTGATTAAGAAATTACATTCTCAGCAATCTGTTCTCAATAGCTAATTACTGTTTCTAGTGGAATTGGTTTTTAATCACAGAAAGAAATCTTCCCAGAAAACTACAAAGCTCGGAAGACCTAGAGTGAGGCCAATATGTATCTTATGGGGGTGGTGGTGTTAGTGACAACAATGTAAAAATCTTGAGATTAGAAAAGTGAATGGCACACTGAAGTGACCAGGGTTGCATATAAGTGCAGTGTTTAGTGTCTGTATCATCTACGTACATTTGTTACCAAAGTACAGTCAGAATAAGACAAAAATATTTGCAGCTGCTATGATCTGTCAATAATAGGTCAGGGCTGGGGTTAGGGGTTGTGGTTTAATAATTGCCTGTGGTGAATGCTAGACTGAACAGTATTGCCTCATTAAGCAGCATGAGTATGGTCTTCAGCCTTTCCCCAGATAGGGAACAGGAACCTCTTATTAAGGAGTCTATTTCACAGTTCTAGCATTTCTACCTAATCAGGAACAAATTTCATTGTCACAATTCCCTTTTTGTTTAATTCACTTTAGAACCATCCACTGTATTTCTCCTGGCCATAGCTTTTGATCTTTTTTATGCCATTCAGTGTCCCCACAGACTTGGTTTTATAACAGTTCCCAACTTAGTGCAAGCTGTCCTTTCAAAGAATCAAGTGCCTCTGTGTGTATTTATGTATAACTGGCACTTCAGTCTGTGTGCATGTAACCGACGTGATCATAGGCTGACAGTAATTTCTAGTTCTGTGATCAGTTCCTTTATATCTGCCCTGATGAGGTGAATTATTGAATGAAATTGTGCCCACACTGGAATAGTGCTTGTTGGGGTAGGAAATTGTCTTTAATTTTTGCAAATCCCAAGAAAGTGTTAGGACTTGCCATCGTCACACTTTGAGCAGCTGTCACTAAGAAAAATATTTTCCTCACTACACATGATATATGGCTTAGAAAGCTGCTCGTCCTATTCTGTGGTATGATTTCTGGGTAGCTCCTTGACTGTTGGAAGAATGTTGACGGTAGACATTTAACTTTATTTGCTTTAGATTTGTCCTTGACTCGGAAATGGGTAAAGCCGTTGTTTTATGTAGGGAGCTGCTCCCATCTCCTCCCCTTCCACCCACATCATTCTACATAAATAGGACTAAACCCACTGTTTTTCACATGCTATTTAAGCAAGTCATCCCCCAAAGTTTTAGTAATAGCAGTTAAGATCGATTGTCCCCCCAGATATGAGCACTTCCAGTATATCCTACCATGCGCCTCTGCCACAGCCCCAGGGTAAGAGTTTGGACACACCTACCACAGCAAGAATTTGAAACTTCGTGGTGGGCAAGGTTGGACAGTACACAGTTCATCTGCCTTTTTGCAGTCACTCTAAGCAACCTTGGTAACCAATGGGCATTTCCAAGTCATGAGCCACCTCACCCCTATCTAGGATGTGCCTGTTGTACTGCATAGACTTCAAAGGGAGCCAAGGGCTGATGCCAGATTTCTGTCTTCAGTGCTGTTCCCATGTTAGTCAGCTTTCATACTGATCATGTTCCTAGGCTGGAGTGCTGTGCTTCTACAGCTAGCCTGCTCCCTGAGCCTTGCGTACGGCTAGCTCAGGCGTCAGCTCTGCAACGTAGGCTTCTCCTGTTTCCTCATGCGAATGAGGAGCTTGATAGACAACGCCTCATCTTTCTGCGGTGTTTGCATTGAAATGATGTGTCAATGACATTTGTGAATGATGTTCACATCAGGTATAAATTCCACAATGACTTCTACTTAGGCTAAACCCGTCTTTAGTTTACAAGGTAGTTTAGATTTCAGTGGAGTACTGAGAAGATGACTCCACTCAGATTGCAACAAGGCATTTTTGCACTAGTACTTGGTACAAGTTGGTATTTAGCATAAGTAAACTATTTGTGTGGTGCGGTCAAAACAGAGACAAGAAGTGGTCAAAACTGGTTTAGGAGAGGCATAAAAACTTTTATTGGTTTGTGCGAAGACAGCTGGCTGGATATATACATTGATACTCTTGTGTGTCAACCTCTAGGGCAGATGTCTCCTGCTGTCTCTATTCTCAAAAAAAAAGCAGCATTTTCCCAAGTGCTGTCTAGTGTTTTACTAATAAACAAATTGATTGAGCTTTGCTGTCTGGAGTCCTAAATTTTGTTTTGAGCTTTGGTAACAGACTGAGCGATGCATTCCTTTCAGGGGGAGATGTGATTTCCAAGCCAGACAGCACAGCTCTTGTCAGTGCTGAAACACGCTCCTGTGTGCCCTGCTAACTGTGAAGACATTTTACCTTGCTTTCCCATGCACAACACATCTTCATCTGTTCTGTGCAGGGTCAAACCCTCCACTAAAAAATACAAGTAAAAGCAAGAGATTACAGAGCCAGATTTTAAAATACCTCAACAACAATTCAAGATCTCTACTGGTAAGAACTGGAGGCAGCTGTGTAATCCTCGAGGGCTGCTATTTTAAGCATAATTCCAAACAGAGACACAGTATTGTGGCTAGTTATCAGGAGAGTGATATTTCTGGACTATTCTGGCTTGACACTGATGAAAGGAAAAGATAAGAAAAAGAGAGGCAAGTTAAAAAAGCTGTTGCTATCTCCTGCTATTCAGACTTCCTTGTACTCCTGTTTTGTACTGGGTTATTTTAAACGTATACCTTAAAAATATATTAACTGTTTTTAACAAATATAATTAGTACAATGTACAATAATGTACCATGTACAATAACTACTATAGATTTTCATGCCAAATGCAGAATGTTCTTGGGGGTGGGGGAGTATAATCACATATATGCACACACCTCTCCCCTCTCCCTCCACCGTAAGGAAGGGATTGCTTTAGCGGAATGACTTGCTTACTGAAAATTACACAGGTACATAACCCATATAGAAGTAGAGCCTTCATTCTAGATATTGTACACTGAAGAGATTGGAAATAATTTTATATTTTGCTGTAATTTGTAATTGATTTTTAGTCATTTTATTGTAAAAATGCAAGTATGGTTTTATAATTTGTTCATTCAGATCCCATTGTGTTATAAACTCACAGCCTTTTTCAGTGGCATGAAATAGTAGGGTAGTATATAAAATAAAGCCACTAGTGCAGTTTGGTTTGTATTGGTATGTATAAATTATGTGCTCAGTAATACACAACACTCCACCACAGAACATGCTTAGTATGTGTACAGCTATTCCCTTAAGAGGTAGTGAGCAAGCAATCCTTTTTCACAAATATCTATGCCAAACTAAATAGTTAAGTAACTAAAGTTAATTAGGAGGCATAATAGATATTTTGCTTCTAAGCGTGGGAATAAGCACTGGAACTGGTAAGTAAGGTTCGCAGTCTTTGATGTATTCGATATATTTACTCAGCTTTTCCCTATGACAGTTCTAAATAGCCCTCCAAGCAGTTCATTAGCTTTGGCACCACAAGGAAGCTGTCACTGCTGTCCAAACTGCAATGCCAGTGACAACTAGTCTGGCTGCAAAAAGATCACTGAAGACTTTGTACTCATTTTTGCAACTGTTCAGCATCGGGTTTTGCTTTGTTGCCATGGACTTCCTCATTCAGTGCACTAAGGCGGACAGACCATAGTAAATGCTGGGATGAGGTACTCTCTGTATGTTGCTAATACACAGTCTTCTCTTTAAAAATATGGATTTATGCTCCTCATCACTCTTTCGTTCTGTTACATTGAAGGGTCACCAATACCTGTGGGCATTGATGTGCAAGTAGAAAGCATTGACAGCATATCTGAAGTTGACATGGTAAGTTGGTTAGTAGAACTGGAATAAAGAATTTCAGCCAGAATTCAGGGTCTCAGAAACATCCAGCTGGATGACATAGAACAATACAGTTAAAGAAAGCAAACCATTAAAGAGCACAACGTTGCCTTGAAGCATGCAAGTCATTCTCATTTAAACTACTAAGTAAAATTTCAGAGCACATGTTGATTTTTTCCCTGGGCAAGAGGAACAAATCAGAGTGGACAGTGCTCTGATTTGAAAATGCCAACCATTCAGTAAGCCCCATGGGCTTCCACATGAGTTCTTAGTGCTCTGCATATTAGATGATGAGGCTCCATGTCCTTCGCTTCCTCTGCTTATGCAGGTCTGAATATTCCCATCATTTCTGGCTTGGGTGGAGCTGTGGTCATAAAAAATAGAAATAGAAAAATCAGTTCCAGGAATGCTCCTAGGAAGGAGACTCCCTCACTGCAATCAAGGACCTGTAGCATTGGAATGCAGGCTGTTCATTCCTCAGCTGAAATTGTCACTAATAATGCCACCCAGACACTAGTGACAAGTTGCTCCATCCTCGAATAGCAGGGCACGTTAACTTTGCAAAGAGCTCTCATTTGCAGGATCTTTTCACAGTGAGCGTAGCTCTAGTCGTAGGTGTTGTGTTTGCAATGGGATTGGTCAGTACAAACCCCTGCATTCCTTTGCAAACCTACCCAAATCATAAAATCATATTACAGGGACATAAAATCATATGACAGGGGAAGACCTAAATATCTTCCCAGTATTATCATCAGAAGTGGTTGTTCTACTGAGACAAATGTTTTCTGCCTAATAATGCAAAAGTTATATAGGTGAGCACAGAGCAGTCAGGCTGTGCAGAAGCCATCCTCTCCATCCCTCTCCACATGTATATTTGCAGCCATATTATTTCTCTAAATAGGATCATAAAATATTTGTAACAATCTTTCATATTAAAAAATGTAATTCTTATAAAATTCAATTGTTTACTCTTATGACATTCATCATGTTGTTTCTTTATGATGCATTTTGTTCATAAACGTACTAATCTAAACCCCCTGTGCAATGTTTGTACAAAATGGATTTTACAAATTGACCTAATGCTCATGAAGAACTCAAATTAATCCCTTTGTAAAGGAACCACAGTCCACCCCGGGGAAAGCTTGTGAAGATTTCCAAAGGAAACTCCTTTCCATTTGCCTTTTGTTGGTTTTAAAGTTTCCTTATCACTACACTGATGGCCCAGTGCAGCAGACCACTGAAATCTGTAAAAGTTTTATCTAAGTATAAATGAAGTATGAACTTCAGCCTCAGACACCAGTGACAAGGCAAACAGCCAGTATCTCAGAGGCAGTTCTAATCCATATTTGAACTCATTGAGTTCCTCAATCCTCAATCCTCTCATTGCGGATTCTCCAGATGATATCCAGAGAAGAAATTGATCCTTTGCATGAGTTGATTACTTTGTATTGTTTTCTATTGTATGTGAATAAAACAAGCGTTGTCTTTTTTTATTTTTAATTAAATAAAGGACTTCACAATGACTTTGTATCTCAGACATTACTGGAAGGATGAGAGACTGTCATTTCACAGTAACAAAAACAAAAGCATGACTTTTGATGGAAGATTGATAAAAAAGATCTGGGTACCTGATGTATTTTTTGTACACTCCAAAAGATCTTTCATCCATGATACAACTGTGGAAAACGTCATGCTCCGAGTATACCCTGATGGCAACGTACTCTTCAGTCTACGGTAAGAACAATACCCTTTTATAAGAAAATACATGACTGCAAGTGTGGACCAATAGTCTGCACAGCGAGAAATTACTGGAAATACTTGCAGTTAAGATTCTGATACTGGACTGGCATTAATCCCCTGGCATCAGATAATGGGAACTGGTGGCCAGTGTACCAGTGGGAAAATACATTTAGGGTTGATAAGATATAGATAACATATGTTTCTATCATTCACATATTTTTTCCTGTCACAGGATAATGGCAGTTTTTTCATCTGTTGTACATAGTGCTGAAGTTTATCAGTTGTTAATTCGTTCGCAGTGGTTTTAGCAATATTGCAGTAGTTTTACTGTTGGGTACAGTAAAGCCCAAAACTATTAGCAAAGAACAAATGTGGTTTTTTTTTCCCGAGTTTTTTAAAACTGTCTGTCTCAGCTACTTTCACCCTGGGATACCGGTAAACATGCCACCAATATTAACCGTGGCTCCAGAAAGGCACAGAGAGCAGATTATTGGTGCTGGTACCAGCAGTGTTAGACAGGCGTGTTGCGTGACTAGAAGGAACTGGAAAGTGAAACAGCAATTCCAGGACTGGAACAGCAAGGTCATTAAATGTGACTCCCTTCTAGCTACGTGTGTTTGCTTTTCCTCATGAAGCAGATTTGGGTGATGTGGCAAAAATAGTTTTAATGAAGGCATGTCCCCTGGTAAAGGCCCCGAGGCCTGTGCATTGCAGAAATCACAGTTCTCCAGTTTGTTACTAATTAGGCCCGTGCACAGCGGGCATCGTTCATCTAATCCGGATAGATTGAAGATTTATGCAAACATGTGAGATTTTGGCTATATAATGATTGCTGCAACAAGTCGTGAATTTATCTACCCTCTCATGAAGACATGCAGAAACCCTCACAACAGCTGTACACCGCTTTAAAATAGCGTATGTTCAAGAATAACACTGACCGGTAAGAAACCTTGAGGTGACGTGTGCATTTTATTGCTCTATTCATTTCCGTGCCTCATGAGGGGGGGGAGAGGGAGCAGGAGGACTACACCAAGGCTTGCAGCGTGGCTCTCCGTGCGAGGGCTATGACAGGCGCTCAGCTGGGGGAAGGAAGAGTGGCAAGGAGACCCAAGACGGGCAAACGCATTCTGTCAGCTTGCTGGGGAGGTGGAGTGTCATCAAGATTAGCAGCAAGAAACGGTGCACAAATAGTTGCAAAGCAAAGGGAGCGTGTGGTGGGAAGGACAGAAATGGAGAGAAAGGAAGAAGCCGGAAGGGAGGGAAGGAAAAGGAGGAAGTGGAGCTGAGGGACAGAAACAGTGTGAACGTTTGCTCATTGCTCGGAATCCCCTCTGTGATGGGAGCCCTCGCCCTGTGTCCTGCACCACTTCTGCAAGCTGGTGCTCTACTTTTCTTCCTCGCCCTCGTCCTCTCTGCTCCAGAGTCACCTCACCCGAACCCCGCGGTGCCAGTGGCGTGTCCTGGGTGACGACTCCTCGCTCTGACAAGTGAGCGTGCGGCCAGCCTCGCCTTCCCGCGCCAGCGAACAGCAAAGCCCCAACGTTCCTGCTAAACCTGTGGATTTCTTCCCGGGCACAAGCAGGAAGGGCAGGTGCCCTGTCCTCTTCCTTTCCTTCTCTATCGGTCCTTATCAAACCGAGAGGCAGGGAAAGGGGTGACCTAAAGGCTGGTGAACCAAGGTTTTGAAATGATTAAGATGAGACAATGTGTTTCTAGCCTGAGCGGTGTTAATGTGTATGGTTCCTAAAGAGCCAGGTGCTCATTAAAACACCCTTTTTGTATTGCCAGTTTTACATGCAGTGGGTAGATTATATTCCAAACGCTTATGTGCGAGAAGTCTGCATATTCCACCCATTTTCCTCAGTGCCTAACATCCAGGATTTGGCTGAAGGAAAGCAGAACAAAAAGCCAGATTTCTTGCTAAAATACGCTTTCTTTTTTTTCCAATCGACATTTTCTTGTTGTTCCCTTGATCCTTTATGCAACAGCTAAAAGACAGAAACAACATCCATAGCTGGAAGTCTTATGCATGATTTTGAAGAGGTACCATTCTTACAATCTCACTTCAAGCCAGTAAAATTTTACACTTGTAAAAATTCAGTGTGATTACAGATCACAAGTTTTCAAAGATCACTTATATACCCCGTATATCCCTTATCACTGAAATCCCTGTAGGATTAATTTTGGGGAAAACTGAAAAATCAAACTAAAACATCAAATAACATGCAAGCTGTGACAAGAAAGGGAAATCTGGCAATATTTACCATATTGAAACTGCTGCCTCTAGCCTTTTTTTGGTGTATTGGTTAAAATGTCAAGGCACATTTACCTTTTTAAAATTTGTGAAAAAGCAGGTGGAATGCAAAATAATGTCTTTACCTAGATTTCCTTAAGCTTTTTAGAGTATAAGGCATTGCCATGGTGTTGAAGAGGAGAGAAGACTTCCCAAAATTGCAGTTTATCTTTTTATGCAATTATTACAACCACTCTAGCTGGAAGAAGAACGGTTGGAATAATATGGTCTCTAATTGTAATATTGTCTACCTCAGTCTATGAGAAATCCACTCATGAAATGTGAACTCTCCTTGTTAACCTTCATAAGGGTAACACTTCAAAGAAAAATGTGTGACAGGCTAATGAAGGATCAGGCCAGTAAAGGTTTTAAAAATTGAAGGTAATGTAATTAGTAAGAAAGACTATTTATGTTTAAAAAATAGGGTGCGCTCACTGATTTAGTTTTATCTCAGTATCTTGAAGCAGTTTTAGAAGCGTCTTAAAAATGTAGAAAAACTCAATCATTAGGATTCTAAACAGCCGATTGGTTGGGGATCTCACAAAGATGTCTGCACAACCCTGAGAAAGTATGATATTTTTTATTTATTTTCTGTTTTTCTGTTCCTTTTTGCAGAGTAACAGTTTCTGCTATGTGTTTCATGGATTTCAGTAGGTATCCTCTGGACACTCAGAACTGTTCTTTAGAACTGGAAAGCTGTAAGTTTAATTCATACCTGTTCTTCACATGTGCATTCTTACCAGCACTCCATCTTGTTCATAATACATTTTTCACTTATTCTGATGTGTGACCTGAACCCTTCAACCTGTACATATTAAACTGTGGCCAGTTTGGGATTTTTCCAGAACTCTGTGAGCTTTGGGAAGATTGAAAAAACATGATGCACCCTGCTTTGTTTCGACTGAGTTGATATTCCAAGGCCTAAATCTAAAAATGTTTCCTCTGTCAAAAGTCATGGTTTTTTTCTGAGAAAAAAGGGGAAGTTAAAAGTAAAATAAGGTGTCAATATTTGACTTCATGGAAAAATGAAAATGAATGCTTGTGTTACTGTCTGCTTTCCTACCCCTGACTCAGTTGTCTGTAGTAAGCTGTAGAGCTGGACAACAAAAGGTAATCCTGTTTTGCAGAGCCTTTTGATATCTCAAAATTTGTTCTTACTTGAATTATGAGTACACCTGGGATGCTGGCTTCTTGTTTAGTCTTGGAAAAGAGAAAAGATCCCCAGTGTTCAGGCAGTCTGCTCAGTGTGTCAGCTCCAGAGCTCTGATCCTCTGTGCCTTGTGACCCTGAGCGTGCCCATGTCCCCCATCTATCGGGTAAGCTGCTGGCAGGGCATGGGACTGGGCTCCACTTGGAACAAGATGGAATGTGGCCTTTGCAGATTTTTCCATGTCAACTAACTAGCAAATTGGTGTGAAAAAAATGTTTCTTTGGGGTTTTGCCAAACCATATGAGTGGTCTCCTATCTCTAAGAAAAGAAAATAGAAGCATTATTCCAGCAGAAGAGGTGATTTAGTTTTTACTTTCTCATAGATGCATACAATGAAGATGATCTGATGTTATACTGGAAACATGGAAACAAGTCCCTGAGCACCGATGACCACATCTCCCTCTCCCAGTTTTTCATCAAAGAATTCAGTGCTTCCAGTGGACTAGCTTTTTACAGCAGTACTGGTATAGTAAGCCCCTGCCATTAAAAGTCAGAAGCACAGGACACAATCTTGCGGAATGTCTTTCACACTTAAATTCGTTGCTGATAAATGACTGTAACTGCCGAGAGATCTCAGTTGAAATGAGGTCTGTTGGTCACACTGGTCTGTCAGCCTAGGTCCTTCGTTCTCCTGAGATTACCAACGTAACTCTTTCTTGATGTTAGAAGTGGAGGTCGTAATAATACTTGTAACTTAACATCTGACAAAAAGAGCCTGAAAAAATGCACAACAACCAAATATATACTGTTGTGAGCTCTTGCAAAATCGCGGTACTTCTCTCAAAGACACTGGAATATTGGGTTTACAGGAATCTTTGGGTCCTGATTATATAGAGAAGCTTGAAAATGCAAACCCTAAAGGGTCAAGTACTAGAAAGCAAAGAAGAGGAACCCCAGTGTGTTTTATTGTCTAAAATCTCCTCATTTTTGGAGCTGTAAAATGACATTAAATGTCTACTAACTATAAGATTTCCACATGAGAGCATTTATAACCTATTGAGGCCTAATTCATGGTTTGCTTAATGTTCCATGTTTATACATAAAGTTGCAGAAAAAAATCCCTTTATGGCAGTGCTACATTGTTTAAATACAGATATCCGCCCCAGACAGGTTTTTATTTCTCCCTATAGATCTCGAACTACACTTCTGGCAAACTGCACAAGGCTTAAGGAGTTTATTATAGTCTTGATTTCATAGAATCATAAAGTAGTTTGGATTGGGAGGGACCTTCAAAGGCCGTCTAGTCCAACCCCCCTGCAGTGAGCAGGGACATCTTCAACTAGATGAGGTTGCTCAGAGCCCTGTCCAACCTGACCTGGAATGTTTCTGGGGATGGGGCATCTGCCACCTCTCTGGGCAACCTGTGCCATGGTTTCACCACCCTCTCTGTGAAACGTCTTCCTTAGATCTAGTCAAAATCTGCCCTTTTTTAGTTTGAAACAATGCAAGTTGGGTTTTATTTTCTTTGTATTTGTACATGCAATTATAAAATTTGAAACGCTTCTCTATGTAAGTAGTCTAACCGTATGTTTTTAAATAGATAAAACAGCATGCTTGCTACTGTACTTTCCAGACTGAGTCAATCCATTTCAGTGTGGATACTGCCTTTTATACCAAGGCATATTAATAAAACAGAAATTATTTCATATAATACGATGAAATCCATAACACTTTGGAAAAAAGCCTTTTAAGATACACAGGAAAGCTGCAAATAGGTTTATTTATTGTATTTTATTTACAGGACAGCTTCTTTTTGCATTTATAAAAGAGCCATTCAAGTTTGTGGTGGCTGATATTGAATGCAGAAATTCCAGTTTATATTATGATGCAGCCTAAGCAGTGAGGAATTCACAGCTTGATCAGGTTCTTCATCCTTATCTCTTTCTCGTGTACGAGCTAAGAACAGAGCTCCAGCTTTCAAGAGCCACTGCCATGTGAGAAGAGGGCGAGTGATACCTTACTAGCATAACTGTGCCTTGCCGAGAGGCTACGTCAAATTTGTCCTTGTTGCAAGAAGGAGACTGGCTTGTTTTCCACCAAACTCCTATCACTGTGCGTTGAAACTGGGTTCCAGGAACTCAGCTGGCTTCTTTCTGCCTTGCTATTCTCATCAAAAAACACTTATGCAAGCAAATACGGCCTCGTGCACAACAGCGCAACCTCATACCACCCCTGTACCCAGGCTTTGCCGCACCTTCACAGCTCCTCTGGCTTTGCAAAGTGTAACTGCTTAACACTTACATGCAGATGTTTTGGTGATGAGCTTACTCAGCAGGGTAAAAATGAAAGACTTTTTTTAAGTCACAGGGACCACTGGGAAGCACCTGAATAGTGAGTGTACCTTATCTGTTAATTAGAACACTGCCCTTTGTAGACATAGACGTTTCTTTGGTTTTGAGGTTTTGTTTCAGCCAGGAGGCTCCACTTCCTCTTGTTCTTTTATTTTGCTTCTTGCTGGAAGAAAATGATTATACACAGACCCCATCCCCCCAAGTAAGTAATAGTGTGGAACAATCAGCACAACTCTAATGGGAGCCATCTCTCCCTGAAAAGTCTCAGTCAAAAAATGGACAAAAACGCTCCTCACAATGCAGCCTGATGCATTTTAGGTTCTGCGACTCCTTTCCTGTGAACCTCGGTGAACTACACATGCATAGCATTTAGGCTTTTGGAGTTCCCTGGCCTCCAAGGGAGCAACAATTTCAATCAACTTTTGAGGCAATCGTTTTTCAAACCAAAACCCTTCTCCACAACCGCAAACACATAGAGTGTGTTTCATATTAGATGGGGTTATTGAGATATTATTTTTTATAAAGTCGCTCTTTGTGATGGCACGACGGCTCCAACACAGGCTCATTGATGCCTCTGTACTGGACGGGCAGATGCTGCCCAGTCAGCCCCTTTTGCCTTCTTTTTACCTCACTATAAACTGATTTCCCCCCTCACAGGCGGCACAGCACACGGGCTCGGCCGCAGGAAGCGCTTCCCCAGCACTCACTAGATGGCACCGTTTCCTCTAAAGTCAGGGCCGGGCGGCGAACCGGGCTGCCCGTCGGGAACGACCGGCTGCCTCTTGCTGCGTGTTTGTGGCCTGAGAGAAGGCAAGCTACTTTTCGGGGGAGGCGGGTGTTGGCTTCACTGACCTAGCTGGACCAGACAATTATATTGCCTCCGTATTCTCCCGGCTGTTTCTCTTGAAATCTTTTTACTTTTTTTTTTTTTTTTTTAAATTTCCTAACCTCAATTATAATATAGTATTTTATTTATGCAATCGTGATGCTTCACTCCCAAGAAGCCAGTATTTTAGTGGGGTATGATGGACAGTTTGTAAAGCACTATATAAAACCAAGGTGGTGGCAATATTTCTTAGGCATTTACTATTACTGATGTGGATAAAAAAATTCCTGCTGGAAGGAGGGGACCAGTGAACAGAGCTCACAAATAACACAGCTCCCCTCCCCTCCCTTCCCCTCCCCTCCTCTCCTCTCCTTTCTCGCTTCTTCTCACTTTGCTTCTCGCTTCTCGCTTCTCGCTTCTTCTTGCTTCTCTCTTCTCTCCTCTTCTCCCCCAACCTGTTCCTCTCTCTTTTTGCAATAGGTTGGTACAATCGACTTTTTATAAACTTTGCCCTACGGAGACATATTTTCTTTTTTGTGCTACAATCCTATTTCCCAGCCATGCTGATGGTGATGCTGTCTTGGGTTTCATTCTGGATTGATAGAAGAGCCGTTCCTGCCAGGGTATCACTAGGTAAACCTTTAATATATATTCTTTTGGGAAGTATAGAATGGATAGGGGAGAGGTTTTGAAGTTACCTTAGCTTCTTATTTACACAGGACATGAGCAAGTATATCAGGTAATTGCCTGAACAACACTATTATTGCCACTGTTGTCACTACCACAAACTCCTTTAGTCAATCTCTAAATTTGGAAATGGGATGTTTGTTCAGACTGGCTTTGCTATATTAGAAAACAGCTCACACACCACAGAAGGAAAAAGGGATGATTTCCCTATGTAGAATTCTACTACTTTTTTTTTTTTTTTTTTGCAAAGACTGTTGGTTTTTTCCTCCCCTCTTCTCAGCAAAGTAACAGGTAGTAACAGGCAGTCAGATACCTCCCCAAATCCATGCTTCATGAGAGATACTTAATAGGCATAGTACAATCTATCTAAAAACTTTGCAGGTCTGCTTTCTCTCTAGACACATTTGATATCGTCCTACCAACTTGGAACCAGTTTCCTGACTTCTCCTATATAGCAAAGCCTTTCTTTTTTAGGCACCTTGAAAATGTTTGCTTTGGTGCCTTAACTGTACAAGGCACACAGGCTTCTGCAGAAGCCGAAGAGTAAGTTGGGCATCTTTTTGCTCACGGTTTTAGTTCTGAACACCACAGCTCAGGAGAAAAAGACTAATTGCAGTGGGTTTTTTACAACATTATTGTTTTTCTTAGTGATGAATCAGTTGATACCACTTCAAGATTGCCTTTGTTGGGAATTTAATGCTGATGGCCTTGGAATGAGTACATTTTTTCAAAGATTAGCATCTCTGTGAAGATCTGACGGAAATTTGTTAAGATATCTAATGCCACCATAATACATCTGAGTCCTGCAACTTGTTGGTTTAAGAATTAGTAAAGAAGTTCCTTGTTCTTTCTTCTCACTGATGCTAGTCCCAGAAGCCAAACTGTATGTTGCCATGTTTCTTAGACAAATGAAAATTTGAGGATCTTTATTTAAGAAACAAACTTGCATGTGCTCAGGGAGCCTTCCATTTTTTTCTATAGCTATACCAGTCTAGAAAAAATAGGACTCTAGCTACCTCAGATCCCTTTCTATGTGCACAGTCTAAAGCTATTAATACATGAGATATACCTCTATTTGTTAGTCTTAAAACAAATTATGGTACATCCTACCTACTTTTACTAAGGCATCTACCAATTCTTTTTATTTATAGGAAATTTTAACTTCTTTAAAAATAAAGTTTTCATTCTCAGTAGGTCATTTGTAATGTTGTCAAGACGGTTTTGCTATCATGTTCTTTAATTTATATATGGATTTCTGAGAAAGTTATGCATCAGGAGGTATATGAATAATGCACATTTCATTAGCATAACCGTACATAATTTATAGGCAATGTTAACAACAAAGTTTAAAAAGCTCAGCTCCCTAGCCTATAGTATACATATTTTAAATAAATTAATTTCCTCTTATATGGTATATTTCAAGCTCCACCCTTCAACCTAAGGAACATGCAGAGAGGGAGAGGGAAAACTCTTGTATGTTCCAGTGGACTTGAAGTAGCATAAAACTACAGACCCTAGTATATACCGACACCCAGCTGAAAGGCCACGCTAGCAGCCAGTGCTGTCTCACAGGTGTTATTGAGCTGTCTTCACTTCCAGAGTTACATTCATTTCTTTAAAAGCAGGGCCTGGCTTGGATGTTGAGTGTTGGTAGGGTTGGTTTTTTTTGGAGATAGAGCAGAACAAAATGAGATGAATAGCTGCATGTAAGAGGAGAGATTGAAAAGGTGAGGGTGAAATTCTGGACACACTAAAGTAAACAAAGAATATTTCTTAGTTTCAGTCGATATAGCATTTTTATGCTAGAGTGTTTTTCGACAGCCCTGGAGTTATGACAGAGACACACAAGCTGATACATGTTCTCAAGAAGTACAATTTGAGAAGGGGTTGGGAGGGAAATGGGTGATTCTTTCGTGAATCTCTGGGGCAAGAAAGCGTGTAGTGGAGACCCTGGCTCTGGGAAGTGAGGGAAGACCACAAACCTGCTTCCGCTTCTCTATAGCAGTGCCTAAAGCTGTCATAGAAGTGTGTTCCTTACGCTGCTGGATCACCAGTGTTGTGTCCCCACTGTTCGAACCCGGTGTGCCGCAGCTCTAACTGCACGCACTGAGCAGAGAGATGATTTACTGGTTTCAGTACTGTATGCGATGGGTCCTTCATGGTTCACTCCACTTTTCAGAGCCTGTGCAATGACGTTAAAGGCAGTGTCAATCATACGCCCTCACAAAGCTGCGCTGTCCAAGCAATGGTGATGAGCTAAACAGAACCAGCTGGCCAGTATTATGATAACCTCCCCTTTTTCTTTGGCAGGTATAACTACAGTGCTGACAATGTCAACCATCATGACAGGAGTAAGTGCCTCAATGCCTCAAGTGTCTTACATCAAGGCTGTGGATGTGTATTTATGGATCAGCTTCCTTTTTGTCTTCCTGTCTGTCATCGAATATGCAGCAGTGAACTACCTCACCACAATTGAAGAGAGAAAGCAACTCAAAAAAAGGGGCAAGGTACAATCCTCTGTGTTTTGTTGCCTTCAGAAAGCATCACAGAAGCCACAGAGTAATGCTGCTACACTACTGTGATAACAGTACAGTAACCATCTCTGTGACTCCACTCTGTATCTCACTTTTCTTTACTTGGATGAAGGGAGGAAATGTATCATCTTCTCTGAGATCTTGAGAAGATCTGTGCTTTCTCTCCCTTCCTTTTCTTGTGGCAGAGGTTAGAGAATACAACTCCAGATCCCACCCCAGAGGAAGGTAACCTTCATTCTGTTCTCAAATACCTATTGATCAAGGTATTTTTCCACTCCTGAAATACACCCCAGAAAGCACTCATGTAATATTCCCTCCTGTTTCCTGTGAAGCAGAGTCTATTTTTCCTTCTCTGCTTCACTATTTTCAATTAGGATGATAGGTTTAATTATGCCTTTTTTTGTCCCAAGACCAGATTAATGACAAGGTCATTTTTAGAAAAGTGTGACTGAAGCAGAAACATTCACAAGTTGAACATTTGCTTTCTATGAAGCACTCACTTAAAACCTTTGCTTCAAGAATGTAAATGTAAACTCATTTGTTGGAATATCACAAGGGGAAAAACAAAACAGAGTGCGTATGTTGCTCACGTGATTTGATAATCCTGTCAAAAAACTCCTCATGGAAATGTTTGAAGTCATTTCCCAGAACTCCATCAACAGCAGACCTACAGGAGAGGCAGAGTTTGATTTTTCTATTTCAGAATCCGGGGCACATACTGCCAAGCTGGCAATAATCAGTCAGGCAAGTGTGTTTTATCGCATGTATCCCCTTCTTTGCTCACGTCCTGCCCAAGGGGGCAGGCCCCCCCGACAGCAATACTGTGAGGTAGCCCTGTTCTCCATATGTTCTCCACAGGGCAACAACACTGAAGAGAAAGCTTTCTTTATTTTCTGTTTTATTTATTTATAATTTACTAAAATGGCTCCTGCTGGACGCAGAATAACTATTCTTTGCTGCCAGGCTTCAGGAATGTATAGCATTGATGCAGTGCAAGCGATGGCTTTCGATGGCTGCTTTCACGACACGGATGTGGACATGGACCTGACTGCTTTCTCAGACCGCTGTGAAGAGGATGAGACTCGGGCACGTGCAGCCAGCGTCTCCAACGTGGGCACAACTCGCATGAAGAGGAAGAAATCTCTGAAGGGCAACGTGGGCAGGATTATTTTACAGAACAATCATGTTCTGGACACATATTCCAGGATTGTATTTCCCAGTGTGTATATTGTGTTCAACTTTTTTTACTGGGGTTTGTACATGTGACCAAAAATCATTATATGCTAGACATTATTTTGCATGTGAGGGTAGCATTGGGCTTTAAAAACAATGCAACAGCGTTAGAGGAAAGGGTTAAACGTTTCTGAAACATACTTCTGCGTCATACCAAGGCTGGTTTGGTTACCAGCAAAACTGTTAATGAAAAACTTTCCTGAGTCTGGTTTCTTTTTCAATTGGACTGTGCAATGCTTCATTGGGGCAACCTAATGCACATGCTACTACTGCAGCAGCATAGAAGCAGCGTGCTCACTAAGGGGGCCCTTTGTCACGCCCTGAACAGACAGCAGCTCCCGCCTGAAGTATTATCCAGTCTCTATCGACACTCTAACCATTCCTCTTTAACCAGCCTTTCTGTGTGTTCTCCGCTTGTGGCCCGTTTTAGTAGGCAATCGGCACCAATCGTCTTCAAACAGCTCCTATCGTTACTTCACTTGCTGCGTTTCGATTTTGCTAGGGAACCTGTATGCACCTCAGCAGCCTTTGTCCTCGGATGGTAACTAGAGGGAAAGTGATTACGGCTTAGCAGTGGAGTTTGTACGTTGTGCATCATCACCACCTCAAGAAAAACCCTCACCCTGCCAGCTGTCCCTGCCTTTCCGCAGGACGGCTGGGAAGGGCCTCTGCTGTGGAGAAATCTTGATCACTGTCCCTGCGGCAGCACAGGAACGATGTCCCAGACCCGACGCACTCGGCGCCTTACAGCCACCTCCCAGGCGGATGAGTCGCGTCACCTGCACAAGCTGCGCCCTCATGTGACATCCACACACCTGCGCCTCGTGTAGACCTGCTGTAATCACCTGCATTCTGCATAACTGTTCATTTCAGAAATGCAGGCTTTGAGGCAGAGATTTTATAAAACTTTGCCAAGAAAACAAACCAACCATGTCTTCAGCAGAATCTGGTTCCTCTGCTTTATGTTGCACACATGAGCTTGGGATTTTGGCCTCCCTCCCTCTCCCTTTGGCTTTTGAGATCGAATGGTACAGTGAGGACAAGCTACACATGCCTGCTTGCAGCACCGATCCCCAGCACCGTTCAAGATGCCACACCGAGACACACAGGGAATAAAAGGAAGCAGCTGTGCCAAAACAGAGCCATATACAGGAATCCCAACAGTCCCAGATGAGACCTGCATGGAAATATCCGTACGTTCAGGCTAAGGAGGTTGAATTAGGGATGTTCAGAGACACACACAAAAAGTGTTCATAGCTCCAGAAAAGCATCAAGATTATTTTAGCGTTTCCCAAATAAGGAGCATTTCCCACTTACATTTCTTGGGTTTGTCTGTCATTTAATAAAGTGAGTTTATGAGTTTATATTTACAAGGTCAGTTCAAAATTATAATTTGTGGTGGGAAAAATGTCACAAGGTAAATGCTTGGTCACTGCTTGGTCAAGTTTAGGAAATGGGAATAAACTTGGAAGCCTGAACCACTCTGGTTTATTTGATTTTCCTGCTCCAATATTGTTTGCTCATAGCATGATGTTTTTTACTCTTTCAAAAAGCTGCATTTGTCAAGCTCCCAATTACAGAGCTGGAGAAGCTGGTGACACACTGCATGCCGGGTGATTGAAATCTGATGGAGTGAGTGGGTACTTTGGCAGCTGCTGCCAAACAAATGATCAGAGCTAAGACGGCTTTGATGCTCTTCCAGGAAATCCTGTCATGGAAAGCAGAACTGTACCAGGAATGACAATGCTGGGAACGTAAAGCCAAAGGACATGCAGGCTTTGGCAACAGCAACAGCACACTAGACCTCAAGCTGAGCAAATGTGTAATATAGATAGAGAAAAAAATATACCATGACATCCTCGCACTGCCGTTATGGAGGCATCCTGCACAGATGTTGCAGATTGCCTGAGAAGATCCCATCTAATTGCTCCAGATGTGTGTGTCCTAAGTTTTTCACAAGAACTAACATAACACAATTGTTTTCACTTTTTTTTTTTTTTTAATCTGCCTTACAGGTAGAGGTATTTGTCCTGTAGCCAAGAGTGACTCCCCAGCCTCCAACAGAAAAAATATCCATGCGCTTCTTGACCCAAACCAGTTCCCTCTTCTTAATTTCTTACATGATATGCAGCAGCAAAAGCCCTGCAGCACAGCATGCCCAAGCCCCATGTAGGCTGTCCCAGCAAGCAGGCCCACACATGAAAGTGCAGAGGAAAAAGAGATTCCTGCGTGCATTTACCTTCCAGGCACATCCTGTACACATGCCTGAAAGCTGCACAGCTTGCCTTGATGGAGGACACTCTTAGTCTGCAACTGTGAACGTAACCATTGGTGGAGCATTCTCCCCTTGGAGAGTACTACATAACGAGTTGTACCATGATAATGAAAAAGACTGCACATTACGATGATGAAACTTAACTGCATACTTTTACAGCCAAGCTCATAATTTCTATCTTCTTAATGCAGTCACAGGGATGATATAAGGATCAATTACACTTCCGAAATCTATTGCTTGAATAAATAGTAAAAAAATAACAAACAGTATTTAAATATGTTATTTCTTGTTTAGAGGGCATTAGAGAGCTGACTAAAATTCACATGATCCTCTTCTGAAGCTTGTGTTATCTTCCAGAAAGGGATTGTAACAAATATTTTCAGTCAATTTGTCTAGACAGACCAGCATGGAAGTCTTTAAAAAAGTATTCACAAATATTTCCCATTCCTGTTATTTGTGGATGGTTTTGCAGTCAGTCAAATATACAGGCTTTATGTCCCACAGCATTTACTAAAAGTTAAAACATCACAGCCATTATGTAAATACATACTTGTTTGAGTATTCATCCTAGTGGTATTCAAGCAGTTATGCTGAGAATACTTTGTGGATTTTTGGAACAGAAATAAGAGCTTATAATGGTTTCTGTGACCAGCTGAGGTGCAGGATGTGGCCTCCCTATTTTTAGCATCTGCTGCTACACCCATCTGTATTAAGAAAACATCCTGTAAGTGTTGATGTAAGTGATGCAAACTTTTAAGTCTGGAGAATTACTTCATTCTTCAAAGCTTTATAATTCTCACAAAAGAAGTAAGCAGAATTTCATGCCAGTGACCTCTTTTTCAGAAAGCTACAAAAATGTACGCCTTTGAATATCCCAACTATTGGTGAGTGTTTACACTAAAATATTCACAATTTAATAAATTTTGCGAGTTGTCCTGAATGTTGAGTGACGTTGTGATGAACCAAGAATGAGTCAGAATTAGAAAGTAGACAATGCCGTCTTTTTCTTCGAAGTCACAGCCAATGAAAGAAAAATGCTTTACAGAGAAAGTTAAATTTTACTAATTTGCACACATTTGTACAATTAGGATAACCTTAAGTTCACCCCTGGCAAAATCTTTCTCCTGCTAACCCATCCACAGGCTGATTAATCTGTATTTCATGATCAAGTAGCCACGATGTCTTGGTCAGCTGGTGACCAAAGAGGTCCAGGTGATAGAGGAACAAGGACTGAACAGGTTCACAGAATCATTAAGGTTGGAAAAGACCTTTAAGATCATCAAGTCCAAGCATCAACCCAACACTATCATGCCCACTAAACCATATCCTGAAGTGACAGATCTGCACGTTGAGCAGTATTTGCCACCTTCTCTCCTCCATCCCCTTTTCCTGTGTATTGTATTTTGCACGTTTCTCTATTCAGCACATAGGAGCTTGCTGGATGCATTCATGAAGGCAGAACCCACTGGAATCACATAACATTTGCTCCAAAGCATCCAGTTAGTGCCAGGGAAGCAGGAGTTATTACTGTGTGATAGCAACCACACCACAAGGAGGAACAGGGCTGCAAAACCATTTTCTATAAAGGGAGGGATCTGAACTGGTATTTCAGATGTGAAAGGCTCTGTTATTTCCCTCCACAAGCTGTTGATAGAACACAGTCCCCTCTCTTATCTGTCATTGAAAGGTCCTTCTAGTAACTAACTTATGCCCTATATAACTTTCTATTTCCATTAACCATGCACTACAAGGCTGCTGAGGTTTCCAAATTTCACCTTTTGCTGGCACTTCTGCTTTGTATGCTTTAAGCTATCAGTACACAAGAACAAAACTTTAGCAAAACCTAACAATTTTTCTGATGTTTTCAGTCAATATAAATTAGACCATCAATAGGCATCTTTAATAAAGGAAACTAAAAATATTTCTAGAAGTTTTCATGTGCTCAGTGATGATTCTACAGGTTTCTTAGAGGGAGCCTCAAAGGGCCTCTGGGACAAGATTTTGGTCCAGGAAAAAAAATAATACAGCAAAAGCCCAGGCACTTTTGTGTAAATTTTATACAAATAACCACAAGGTTTTATGTTGTAGCTCCCTATTTAATCTATTTCCTACTGTTTTCGAAAAATGGGGTATTTTTCTTTCTCGCACACATGCGCTAAATAACTTGGGTAGATGAAGAAGAAACATTTCTTGCAAAGATTGTTTTCAAGTGGTGATCGCTTTAAAACTTTCTAGTTTGGGGGTTAAAAAAACCCCCAACTTTTACATTACAATTCTCTCCACTAAGCGAGGTTAAACGGCGTGAAACACCGGCCACCGGTGCTGGCTGATCCCAATCCACGTTATTACTGTTCGACGTCTTATCAGACGTCTCCTCCTTCCTCCTCAGCCGTGCGCCAGAGGCGGGAGCGCAG